TATTAAATGATTAATTCGCATTCTCAAAAGAAGCTTAGCGCAATTTATTACTTTTAAAATTATCATAATAATATAAAGTGATAAATGTCAGTGAATATATTAGGTTATAATATTATTACATTGCGGTGTAATACTAAGTTAATATTATTTTTACACTACATACACAAGTTTGTGGGCAATAGATAGAACAAGGAAAAATAAAAATACGATTATAATAATCCTTTGGTTACATTTGATTGAAAAGGAATCTTATAATTTCGTCATGTCTTTCCGTCTGTTTATTCGAATAATATTCGAAATATAGATGTTTCGATGTTCATTAAATTTTTTTGAAAGATGGGGGAAAGTAATCTTAAAAATTTGGAGAAATAACGAAGAAAAAATTTTTGACGCGCTTCGCCATTTATCAAACCTTTGAATATTTTTCTTGCATCGGGTGATAACAAATATGACAAACGAGGTGTCATTAAATAGATCTTCTTGAATGCATCAAAAGTGTTCCACGAGTTTCTTGATTAGTTGCCACCTCCGCAAGAAACAAGCCTCCAAAGTATCTTAAATTGGAAAAGTTTCCCCCTTGCTTTTTCAGTATGCACATAAAAATTTTATATCAGTATTTTTCAGACGGGATAGTAGTATACATTAGTTACACCTCTTAGGTATATATAACACTTATAAAAACTACTAATCACTAAAATTTTTTTCAGATGTTCTAATTTTAAATATTTTTAATGCAATGTACAAAACATCTCGTCATTTGTCGGAGTGTGTGTTTCGTTTTAAAATAAAATTAATGCTATCATTAATCATTAGTCACTATTAAATTGCCACGATTCACGTTTGTATGACACAATTGTGTGAAACGATTTGTATGTACAAGTTGGAATCTACTTGTTACATGCTATCATTAGGTTTATAAATATATGGATTGATGTAGACTTGTTCCCATATATTTGATAGTGTACTCTAAATTACTATGTCACGTGAAGAATAATAAAAGACAACAATTTAAAATAAAACTATCAATACTGAAATGTTAATAATAGAGTTTCTAACTAACTATAGTTATAATCTATGATACAGGTGTAGCTATGAACATGATTGTAATTTCGTGGAATATGAATATTAGCATTGAAATTTCAACCTTAATTATAAGCGGTAACGATATTTTATAAATTCTTACATAAAATTTCGTTAATGTCGGCTCTCGACCGTACTTTTTATAATGTAATTTCATTTCAAATATGTTGTAGACTATTTTTGTTTCAAACAAAATGTTTAGAAAACGCGGCTGAGTTTATATTTAGAACCTTATGTATTTTATTCTGGACCACAATGAAGAAAAGCTTCAAAGGATTTCCATAGCTGTTGGGTTAAATAATTAAAGCGACAGATTTAGGTGTAATGTCTTTATAGTATATACCATCTAAACTACGTACAGTAATAATTTTATCTTCTCGTATATATTTATATTCAAAGACAGAGGTGGGAAACCTTATGGGCCGGATAAATGTACGAAATTTTACATAGAGCCGAAAGTGTTGACAGAAATATCATTTATTTTTATATTGAAACTAAGTAGATGTTTTGGCTTTATAAGTGATTTAATTTCTCTCTTCATCTCCTTAAAGGTTGATTAACTAATGGAAAGTTAGATGCCCATAATCAAGAGGAGTTTTTCCATTAATATTTTATAGTATTACTAGATTTAGAAAATATTACCTTGCCATATAGTATCTTCGGCAAAGATAAAGAGTTAATAAAATTATTTAATGGACAACTAAATACTCCTACATTTTACCGAGCATATTTGAAGGGGATTACTCACTCGGGTAAATTTATTTTTTAAAAAACGGTTTTTACCATCGCTAACATTTTTTAAATTGGTTAGAAATAGATTTATTTAATTGTCCTCGTTATATCTGTGGTAAATATTTATTAGTTGTAATAGATCTCTTATCAGTATTCTTATGTTACGGACTAGGAGTCATCAATTCTGGATGGCCTGGCATCTGTCTACTTCGACTCGAGATCTATCGATACTTTTCCAGACTTATGGGCCAAACCGTGAGTGGGATTGTTAGTGGCCACTTTCTAGAAATAGATCTAATTTATTAGTTTTTCACGTATTAAACGTATTCATTTCTGACAGTTTAGTTACATTTTAAATGCGTTCCGTAGAGGCCTTTTAAAGATTTGTAGGAACGTTTCTTAAAAATCTAATAACTAAGTATATGACTGATATCCAAAATGCTCAGTAATATATATACCTAGTAATTGGTTTATGTAGTCCATAGGGGCGACCGATATACTATAACGTTGTTAATGATTAATCATTTATTATGTTGATGACATAGTTATTAGGTTAAGTATTAGCATTAATAAATAATTTAAACAAAAATTTAATAAACATTTATTTATATTATTTAACTACAATACATAAAATAAATATTGTAATAAAATCTATTAAAATATATATATAATTTCATTATAATTTGTTTGAATTGTACTTTTTTAGTCGCATGTTACTGTATTTATTATAAGAAACGACATCATATGAAAACATAATTCATTGATTAATATCAACGGGTGTCATTCGTTGAGGCGATATCTTAATATCAGTTATGGATTAGAAGTTGGAGTTGTGTGAGTACCAAGGCTTAACGAAAGTATTTTATGTGGCAATGGTAATATTTGGAAGGAAAATGGCAAACGAATGGAAACTCTCCGGAACAAGTTCGCCCTACAACCAAATTATGTATCACGCAATTAATATGAGATAGGTGAAAACTGCTCTCAAAATTAATTTTTAAAGAATGATAATATGTTTTATTTATTTATTTATACTTTTGCACAAAAATGTCTACGGGGCGGACTTAATGCCTGATGACATTCTCTACCAGTCAACCACCACGCCAAACAGAGAGAGCAAATGGCGGTGCACAGATTTAAGAAAATAGCAAATTAAATAAATATTTTAAGAGATAACAATTTATGATAAATAAACATACGAATATAAAATAATATACTTACAAAAAATATACACACATAAATCATATACAATACATATATAAATAACCATACATAGTATATACTAAATTAATAAATATATAAATAATAACTAATTATATAACAGATTAAGGTTCTTCATTGTTGTGATAAATTGAAGTAATGTTTACGAAGGGTTGTAAATAAGCAATTATTAATAAGTAAGTAAGAACACATAAAAATAAGCCCATATAAACTATATTTATATATATTTTTCGTAATATATTAAAATATAAAAACAATAGATGTAAACAATTATATATATTTAATTATCATATATCCTATAGCGCCTCTAATAAAAATGCACTCAATTTTTTTGTTTGCATTAAATTATAATTCTTTCCATGAGAAATAAGAAGGGGAGGCCTAAAGTTAACTATTTGCATAGGAATTTTCAAATACTCTACATTAAAAAAAAATACTATATAAGTAGGACTAACAATTTTGATAAAAAACGTGTGTCAAAAACGAATCATTATAAAATAAATATATTTATATCTAGACGCACAACAATGCGTAAACAAAATACAGTACTGTACTGTATACGATTCAATTAATATTATGTCATAATTATTTACTTTTAAATCTGAATTCTAAACAAAAACAAAAAACAATATATATATATTAACTAAAAAAGCGATTCACGAGCAAACGTTGGTATTTTGAAGTTTTATCTATTGTTACTAGATCGTTAATGGCGTTGTATGTCAGAGTGTATTTAATTTAGCGTATTTCCTAATTGTTAAATGAGTTACATTCAATGTATTTCGTATTGCATTATCTTTTATATTAACCAATTGTTTACGAAGGAATCGTACCGTGTTTGCTATTATATGTAATCAGCCCTTTATTTGGGACCCCCAAGCGATCTTAGCGATCGCTCCTTCCTCCTCGTGGGAAACGCCTGGCCGTTAATATGAAAGTTTTATGATACCAATATATTAATGAATGCGTAAATTAAGACCCGTTTAATTATTGCTAGCGAACAGGTGCTGAATTCTTCGAATGTTACATATAAGAAATTGCTTCTTGAGAGCTTAATTACTATTGATTACTATTAGAAATGAATTCCCTAATAAATGGTAGTGGCGTAGCTATGCTTCACCTTATGCTGTGTATGGATTGGATTCCGAACAATACATATATCTATACGTTTCTTTGTTTACTGGGCATAAAACAAAGAATAATATTATTTTGTCCATGATGAAGTTGATTAGTACTTATTTATACTAGATTTAGGAGACAGAGAATTGTGAACCTATATTTAAAAAAAAAACATAAAATATAATTATCGCTGAAAATTCCTATTAAAAAATTACATAGAAGTTTTTAACATATTGTAATAATTGATATTTTTAATATTATGAAAATAAATTGGAAACTTGGATGTTTGTTACTAAACCATATTTCAATAGCAAAATGTATTTGAATGTAATTGTGTATGTGTACAACACAGAAAAACTTACATCCTAGATTCACACATAGCATTTCTTATTTTATCATCTATTTTGTAAATCCTATTTTACGAATCTCTGAATCTTTTTATTACTCAATTGTCTATTTATATAATATTATCTGCAGTAAAATCTTTAAGAACCGAAATGAAAGTTAATGTACAAGCAAGCGATAAACATAGACGTGACTAAATTATAAAAACGGATCGCTTATTTACATTGGCATATTGAAGACATTTATTTCAATATTTTGTTTAGTAAATTTAAATAGAAATCTATATTAGAATATAATTTAAAATTGTACTTATATTTTTATTAGATTATTAATTGACAGGTAAATAAACCTATAAAATTTAAAAGAATAGTTGTATGCATACAAGAAGCTAATCCCAATATTGTTTGAGGCAGCACAACGTTAACACGTAAGGGGCACGTCCGGCGCGCATACGGAGGGTTAACGATTATCTAATGGGATTTTTATGTCAAGTGGATACTCACTCTTTATGTCGTAAAGCTCTTCTAAGTTCTGTGGGTTCTCGGCCCAAAAGACGTATCTCAATGCCTCGTCGTGTACATTGGCGACGCAGAAACCCTTCAGCGGTGGAACTCCGTTCTTCGTGAATTCTGCCAGCAGGTTGGATAGCTCATAGTCAGCCTAGAATAAGTAATAAAAGTTATTTAGATTTATTCTTTAGATTTACAGTTTAATTTCAATTATTAAATATAGGTACACATAAAACTACTACTGCAACTTGATACACTACATTAAAACAATTTTAAAACAGTAATACTAGACTATGTAAGATTGGATAATTTCCACACCACGTACAGTTTCGACCAGGTGTAAATCGCTCAAAAATGAGCGAGTCTTAAAATTGTTCAAGGATTATTATATGTCTCGGAATTGTATGTTTTAAAATATATTTAATAAGATTCAATCGAAAAAGAGCGATCAGATATTCCGTACTTTTGATTAATGATGAGCTATTTATATTGAGTTCCGAATCGTACGTAGTTTGAAATACTCATAATGAATCACAAAGGCTTTGAAATAATCACATGGTTAATGGATATTATTGGTTTCAATTACATCCAATAGGATAATGTATAAGATAATAATGTATTAGTAACATGTTGATTTAAATACCGAAATACACATAGAATGTCTCATACATTTGATTTTAGTGCAATGTAATGTAAATTCTAAAATAGAGTATTCATTAATGCGAACCTAGTATTTGAGTATTTCAGTCAGTCTATTCCCTTATCGTAGCGCTACACAGTATGACACTATTTTATTGTATAAAATGAGAAAACAAAATGTACGCAATTGTATGAAAATGGTTTGAATTTCCGTGCACGTGCCAGATATCATTGCAGAAAATTATAAGCGTCACCATACAATTGCTACAGAAATTATGTTTATGTAACTTCAGTTACAAGCAGAGTTATACTGATTGAAATTAAAACAATGAAATTGAACATCCGTAATGGCGAAACGGCGAGTTTTAATTTGTTTCAAACGAGAATTTTTACATACATTAGTATATAGATAGTAAAGTAATTAAGACATTAATATATAGATAGTAAAGTAACATCAATAGAGGTTGCTTTACTATCCGTTAAGACAATATCTAAATAAATTTATAATGCTAGTGATGGATATACGCTTTAGTACCTAGTAAAATATTTTACGATATCATTAGATCATCAGTATCACAAAATAAAAAACTAGCGATAAAGTCAATAAGGTGGAGAAAAAATGCTGTTAGTTCAGTGCTTACAACATTGTAACAAGCTGAAGCTAAAGTGAATATTACAGAGCTGCAACATTACCCACGTTCCCTCAAAACACGTTTTGTGACATGTATTTTCATGTAAATGGTTTTCGTGACATCTACACAAACAAAACAATGTTTTATACATGTATCACAATGCATAAACTTGATGTAAATGCTCTACGTACATAATACACTACGTATGTTTGGTAAAAAGTCCGTGTTAAAGCACTACGCTACTTTAATACCTATAAGCACATCTCATGCATTTTATCACAGCAGACAAAGTTTTTAAACTAAACATCAGCAGTGTAATTTAGACTTACATTCTTAATTGGCCGTCTCTACAATCAAAAATTAACACGGCTATTATGAAACAAACACCGAGTTGTAAGATACTGTAATTGTTTTAGATACGGTTTCTTTGCAATTGCTTTGAAGAAATATGTAACAGTAGAGGTAAAGCTCGTTATAGTTTATTAAATAAAGAAGATTATTTTATTACAGGTATCTTATGTATATATTATCTAACATTATTTTAATTTAAATTTGAATTTTAAAATGTTTTATGAATAACATCTGTGGTTGACTCTGATTGATCTGTTATCGATTTGAGAAATTTATTCAGATTAAAGTACTTATAAATTAAAAAGCGTATTTAGATTATATACCATATATAATATTTTATGATTTTTTTTAAGTTGCTTTGCTTTTTCTCTATTTACTATTTCACAGCATCGCTGGAATAATAAAAGTTATGGCATGCCACATGTACGTAAATTCACGTTGTTTGTCTTAACAATGAAAAGCTAAACTCGAAATTGACCAAATCATAAAATTATTTTAGTAAAATATTTCTATGACAGTTATGTCTAAGATAATAATGACACAAAAAAAAACACTGTCAAGTTCGAATTAAAGTTACTTATCGAGGGTTACGTACATATAAAAAATCTGTAAATAGCTTTCTGTTTACTTTGGATAAAATTTTATTTTATTATGTATATACGAAATTGCTATTTGGATACGTAGACAATATATGAAATAAAGTTACCTTACTGTCTTTTTATATGAAATAAATGCCTAAATAATACTATTATTGTTAATTAAAAATAACTAAATTATAACTGTGGCTTAAAACTTGACATAACTTTAGTTTTTGAAATTTTTTTATATACTTCCAAAAACGGTAGTAGTTTAAAATATAATTGTCATTATTTTAGATTTCTGCCGATAAGACATATCGGTTTGTTGTACTTGTTTTACTTGTCTTTATTAAAATGTTTTCATTATTTGTACAAGTAATTGGTTTTAAAATTTCAAAAAAAAAAACAATGTTTTAATTCCCCAGGTGTCAACTTTTCCGAATTGAAACTACAATTGTACGGTTACTTGCGAAACTTGTTATCTGAAATTCTGCCCTTCTAACATGATCGTGATTCCTATTATATTTTTTTCGAGACTTCGGTAACTTTTTGCGAGAAAAGCACAATTAATTCACGACAGTTTGCTATATTGATAAGGAATACGTATAAGATATTTTAAGTCAATTACATTACAATGGCAAAATGGATCGGTACGGATTATTTGTGTGTGTGCACGCGAGCGTGTGTGTTTGTTTTGTGCGTGCGTACGTGCATGCGTGCGTGTGTGTGCTTGTGTGTTGGTATTATTTAATAGTTATTAGATGTAATATGTATGTGAAGTACATCTATAGACAACTTAATAACAAGTATCGATAAATTGTGAAGTCTGTGTATTGCGGTTTCCTAATGCTCATCACGCAACAGTTAACAACAGCACGAGATAATAAATTGTATTTTACGACTATCACTCATCGTAATTTCATATGACGTAAATATTTTATTGTCAGGAGTTATAAATCTTGTTGTTATGCCCAATCCCCCCCCCCCCACCCTATTTAGAGCCATCTAGTAATGTTATGAAATAAAAGTTAAAATACAAAATCATTTACTATTGTTATAATATTATTATTTTGATGCTAATATACGTACATCTTTCTTCCCCTTTCTATTTTTGTTCAACGACAGTTGAACGGGTAATGAACCGGAAACTGTGTTCCCAACTCATAACAAATGGAAGCGTTTAGCCTACGTAAAAGATGAAGGTATGCGTAATTTAAACGATATATCCATATGTTGTTCTATTTGCATCGCATTAAACGGAATTTAATAAATCAAAGATTTTGCCAAGGACGGACTTTATTAATAAAATATTTTCTTTTTTTTTATGTAATCATCGTCACGTTTGCTTAAACGCGGAATAAACAAATAGGATCGAGTTTCCTTGACCTTAAGCCATATACGTACTATGTTGTTTTAATAGTACTTAATGAAGGGTAACCAAGTTTTGTTGAAATTATCACACAAGCATTGTTCTAATTAAATTAGTAACAAATAGAAACATTTAATTAGTTAATTGTTTTTTAACTTGTATTACTATTAGATATCAATATTCATCAATAATCAGTAGAGTTAATCAGTAATTCGTTCAGTTTAGTCAGTAGAGTTAATCAGTAATTCGTTTACGTTTTTATTAAGTCCTATTGAAATAGATTACGCACCTTTTTTAATCTTTATCATAATTCGTGTTAGCCATGTCCAACAGTTGTCGATTTGATTTCTCCAATAGATATATAGAGTTTATTATCAGAAAATGGTGTATGTTAACTCGTATCACACATTATGTATGTGATGGTTACTATACATTTCCAATACTCTTCCTTCCTTCCACTTCTACATGACCTATAGTGTTAGTCGTAATGAGTGTACGAAACAGATTTATAAAGCTCTATAATGTTTCTTACGTGGTAAACTTAATATTAATACTATAAATATGACAGTGAATTTATTTATTTGTTTATTTATCATTATTACCTGATCGACTTAGTACGGAAAATACGAAGATTGTAGTTTTTGATTCAAGTAAATTATTTAGTTTAAAAAATAGCATCTTTGGAATCTAACTCGTTATACAATTTACAACTTATTCTGTATGTTTTTATGTATACGCTTACTAAACTTTTCATCCCAGACTACGTGCATTCATAATTATATATAATATATTAACCACACATAAACATTTTCTTTGGAACTAATTCTAGCACTATTGTATTATGAGTGCTTTATGCTAGCTCAACTTTGTAGATTCTCCACTGCGCTCACGTTTCAAACTCTTTTATTGTATTTTCTTTTTTAATTTCATTTTTACACACCAAATGTTTCGCTTATTTAATATTGTTTTCAATATTTTGTTTCTAACCTAGGTATAATTTAACAACTTATTAAATTATTATTAAGTGTTTTATATAAACAATGGTGGACAATACATGCAATTAATTATGATCAAAATAAATGTATAATTAAATAAATATATATAAAAACCCATTATCGTCCTCGCCCCTTAAGCCAGCAATAATAATTAGTTTACTGTCAGGTATTAAATAGACTTGGTCTAAGATTATATTTCTAGTTCTTCTTTTCTTCGTGTTTATTGCGTTAAATTCCCTTTGTCGGCTACGACTTCTACGATATCTAGGAAATGAATAGTGACATATTATATTCTTACTTCGATACAACACCGACTTAATGAAAATAAATAAACATTATAAAAACAAATTAATATATTTGTACTTTAGATTATACAGATTGAGAGTTCTCACACAAGTGCTTCGTCAAAAACAGATCATTTTTTTATCCGTGTGTGCGTGAAAAGGGTTACCGTAATGTACGTTTAATACTTATATATTTCATTCAATGTGTGAGATTTATATTGTAATGTTAAATTTAAAAAAAGGACAAAATTTTTACAACTATATTTAAAAGAATAAAATAAAAGATGCAATAAAATTCCTAAT